ACTGTGAAAAGAACAACGTTATTTAACAAAACCGCATTATTTACATAGTTTTCCGTCACAAAATGTTTGGGTGGCCTGCAGAATCACTCTTTATTTGCAGAGCATAAATTATGCAAAACAGGCCTATCAGTACCACGGCAGCTGCAAGTAAATATTGATAAGGTCAAAACCCCCTTCATTTATTTTTGTCAGATATGTTTAGAGGAGTCAGGATGCATATTACCTAACACTGAATTCGACAGAGAACACATCGACGACAGTTTAACTTACACAAATGAACATGGAGTCATCAAACGTCTCAATCAAAGTGCTACTCAACAACCGTATACATCTTTGTGTACCAGGCTACAAATCAAAGTAAATGTGTGATGGTTAATGAAACATCTTGAATGCTGAAACCTCACTAAGTCGGGTATGACCTACTGTTTTACAGTCGGGTTCGCAAATATAAATGAGATACTTGCCAGCATAGCAGTTAAAGGAGGATTAAGAGATAAACTTCGAGAAAGACCACTAAGATATTCTCCACTAGCAGTACCGATGCCATAAATATACTTCCTAGTCATTTTTCACCCTTTTTCCCTTGAAAATCACTATGAAAAAGCTTGAATTACAAGTTAACTGATACCCCTTTAAAATAAAATATGAAAGAATCCAAAAGAAGTATGCTAAACATTGGCTATGTATTAGTTTACAAGCAACAATAAAGATTAGACGAAGTCTTTAATGTAGCTGTACCGAAAGCTGATTTTCGAAACTTCTGTAACCGTTTTCCCCTTGAATGACGAATCAGGTGAGGAAGAGGCAGAAACATCATCTTCATAGAACTGAGACGCAGACCTTTTCAAATAACATGTATGCGCCACTGCCACCAAAATCGTTCAAACCTTTTTTCTTCCTCATGTGAATAAACCCACTAACTTAAGCCAATTCATAGAAAGTAGGCATGCATGTAGACAACCTTTAAAGTCTGGCTTTATTCACCAAACAAGCGGTGAACAACATGATTCTTCATCATTCACCCCATGATGGTTGTTATAGACTAGAGCTGGTAAGTTAGAAGTCAGTAAAAAAATATCAAAGCACTTTTCGGAATACCCTGGTACTGATTGCAATTTCCTCCCACAAAATATTCTAGAGTCAGCATAAATCTTTAACGAAACTAACAGATAGAATCTGTGACCTGATATTGACTATCAGATACTTGCAGTGGTTTAGAAACCACCAAACTCCATCCCACATACATGTACATCTGATCTAACAGATATCACATGAATCCTGTGCCAGTTTCATGGAAACGATTTTTTGTTGAATTATATTTACAATCGACAAAAAATAATAAGTTTTGAGAGAGTTGTAGGGATTTGGAAATATTTCAAGTTGTTATTCATCGTAGACTGATATCAGTTAGAGGAACAAAGGAAACCTGGGAGAACTGGACAGCTGTTTCGTCCTACTGTTCCTCCAACTGATGTCAGTCTACGATGAATGACAACTTGAAATATTTCCAAATCCCCACAACTCCCTCAAAATTCACTTGAACTAGTGCTCATTGGTGACTAGCTTCGAGAGGTATTCCCGAAGTTCCAATGAGAAGTCGTGGCCGATGGGTGCAAAGCCTGATGGTTATGAGGACAGTTACTCAACGATGACATTAAGCGGCGGTCGCGTCATATCATGAGCTAATAGAAGTTGGAAATATGGACCATTGGATTCTGACCCATGGAACCTTAAGGTCGTGGGTTCGATCCATGGCGGGATCGTGGGTGCTCAATGCTGAGGAGTCCCACACTAGGACAAAATGGCTGTCCAGTGCTTCCAGGTTTCCTTTGTTTCTCCAACTGATGTCAGTCTACGATGAATAACAACTTGAAAAAACAATAATTTTTATTTACATCCTAGACGACTATCCCCTAAATCGTGTGGATTTCAAGTTAATAAGTGTCATATATCTTCATTAACTTTATCCTTCATTGTTTTTGTCTCATGGTGTTTCACGATATATGATTACACTACTTTCAATCCTTTTTCTTTGAAATTTTTACGTCGATGTGAAGTGTGAACCATCATGTGCTAATGCCATATGACAGAATCTATTCATTTGAAGATAGTTTGAACCATGAACTGACATTACCTGAAAAACCATTGAGAACCACTAAGGGGTCAATAGGGTTCTCGTCTAACAATGGACCTTCCCCTCAATGCACACCTCATGCCTTTGTACCAGGAATCATCATATTTCACAGAAAACCTGTCTTTTTGGCAAGTCAGTTGGTAATTTCTAATTCCAGTCATTTCAGAAGTTAGCACAAATATGTTGAAATGCTATCTGAAACATCTTGTTATAACTCTTGGCTTCAGTAACCAACATACAATAACTTCCCATAAGAGCCTCAGCCGTCATAAATTCAAAATGGATTGCTAGAGAGCGATGGATTTGGCTATGACTTGGTAGTTTTAGGAATTGACTTCTCACAATATCGCTTGAATTATTATTTGAAGTTAACTGGTAAAATACCGAGAAGTAATTAGTCCATAAGAATAGTAATTCACCAGTAAAACAGACTAAGTAGATTTTTGTCAATACTAGCACTGAAGTAGTGAGAATGAACAGATATGAATAAGCTATAAGTACCTGCAGAATTGAAACAACTGACTAGTTGCACTGAAGTGGTGTGTGTTCGCATGTATGAACGAAACGCTTCTTCATAAATTGACTTAGGTTTGGAAGGTCGAAATCTTGACTTTTAATTTTTTAGCACAATAGTATCATTTCCAAAATCTCTCAGAAAATTTAACTCAATCATATTACGAATTGATGAGGCTAACCAGCAGTTAGTCTAACACTAAGATTACACAAACGTATGGGCTTATCCCTTTGCGATTAGAACAAACGCAAAGTACTGTAACTGACCGCTTGAAACCATAATGAGACACAATGTATTAGGTTACAATACAAAGTTAATTATGGATTAACCAACCATAACTGATGACAATCTTTACATAATCGAATTAAATGAGTGCAAAGAAACTATGTTTAGTCATATTTTTTCGTAGGGAAAGAATATGTATCCATAAAAAAGTGTGTTGTGAAGAACTCTTATTACAAGAAGCCACATAACAGGTAAAGCAACACAAATCGAACGTTATTAAAGGTCAACAATTAGCTGATGGGCCAACATCATGGGAAACGCTAGTGAAACTTCCATAGAATCGAACCAGTAACAGCTTGAATTACAGTTAAACCAGAAGGCTATGAGGAACTAGCTTAAATAATATTATTTAACTCTGTAGTAAACAGCTGAATACTAGCAATATTTGTAAACTTGATTATACGTTTATAAACAGTTGTTGAAACGTTGGGGAGTCTAAATCAAAAACAATTCATTTTAAGAGGTTTAACATATTTGAAGCAGCTTTGTTACTCTTAAGCCACCCAAAAGACTTAACGTAATGAAATACTGTCCCAGACATTATTCTTGAGAATTCTGAATGCAATCTACGAATGTCAAAAACGGATGAGCTGTTTTGGGATCAGAATGCGGAGTGTATAAACAATCCTAACTGGTATAAGTTAACAGTATCACTTTTTTAAAAAGTACGGTGAGAACAAGGCCACAATTTTTAAAGGTCCCAGTCCCTACTATTACTCACCGAATTCAGTTAAAGGCATTAAAATTACTAATCAGCAAGGGTACCCGGTTCCAGATGTGCAAGCCAAACTCTACCACCACAAGGAGAAATGCATCCACTGGGAGGTATTTCAACTTGATGCAGATCGAGACCAACCTCATAGTAATTAGACGGGCTTTATCTAATATAGGTTCTAAAAGACCTCACTTTAGAAACATTTTATGATTAGAAGCATTTCATAATCTAAGAAACTTTTTGCCTTGCGTAGTTATCAAATTAACTGCAGTAAGCTATATCACCACTCACTTTCCGCATCTTTTTAGTACACAAATCAAGTCAACACTGCAATGAACACCGGATCTAACTACAGGGACTACGTAGGTATGTAAGACTTCATCCATTATAGGATTTAACTTTACAGCACAGAAAGAATGGGGAGCGTATCGACGTCCGACCAAACTCAGAGTCCGCATTGTTCGACTAAAGAAAATGACAACTTTTACTATTTGTATAAAAGGTTAGTTCTCTGTCATAATGACATCAAGTGTAAGGGACTATTGAGACTTAGCAAAAACACCGCCAGTCACTATAAGTAAAACTAACTTTGATAGCCTAGGTTATCAAAAAAAGGGAGTTCAAGTTTCATCACAATAAGTGCTGAAAAATACATATTAACTGCCTTATATATTTGACTGTTATGATCACTGGCATAGATGACGTGCTGCCACATAAACAGAATGTTTGGTTGTATTCCTCTCCATCTACCAAGTGGGACCAAAAATGGAGGGAGATATAGCGACTTAAAAAGACGCGAAATTCCATGCACCCAACTGACCTAACTATTATTCCCTCTTTTTAAGAAAAACAACTACAATAGAATACAAAAGTCCTCCATATTAGATAAGCCTTATTACAGATGATAATCTGAGTTTGCGTACCAATGTTTTGAAGGGGAACGATATAAACTATGGATTTAAAAAATATGGAAATAGATGCTAACTCTTGAAGTACCCCAGACTAGGGCGAAACAGCCTTCCACTGCTCCCACGCTCTCAATAATTCTTCAACTGATGTCAAGCAGTTATGCAAACTACTTTCTAGTTGACAAGTTGGCAAACGAGTTGCAGAGTGGTTACTTATGTTGTCTTACTTCGAAGAGATCAGCAGTTGTCTTGGACTAAACTGCCGTCAGTAGATAACTTCAAGTGTTCACTAAGTGTCTTTGAATGCGATTAAGGCCCATTCATTTTCACAAATTACACTGACTGGAAATGAAAAGTACATGAGTAGCATTAACAGTCAATTGTAATATTTAATATTACAACTATTTACAGTTAGTGAGAGCATGGCGCTCGGGAGTTTGTTTCTTACAAGGGAACATTTTTAGCTGTTGCTTTCTGGACGATATTCTGACCCTCTCTTTTCAAAACAGTTAGGAGAGTTTGGGAACTCTCTAGAATCTGAAAGGCAGCTATGAAAGCAAAAACCAATACATACCTTCATATAGGCTGCCTCAGACTCCGCGATTGTTCGGTCATATTCATTCCGTGTAGCCATTTTTTTCTGCAAAGCTTCGTTTACTCTGTTAAGTTTGTCATTCAGAACATTTATCTCCCTTTGAAGTTTAGCACGTTCGGTTTCGTCTTGTTGGATTTGCCTCTGTAGTTCCTCCCGTCTTTTACAGAGCTCTTCAAAGCCTGAAAACATTATACAGCTCAAAATATATACCATACATTTAACAAGTTCATTATTGTAGTTTTGCAGAGCAGCCCCCTGATGAGACATGAGAACAGTAGTACAAGCCACGCGCTCTCATCGTCATGACAACCGGCAATCTTCAGTTCTATCCCTGAGTAAGAAATGCAAGCGCTTACACCTCTCAAAAGACTATATGGCACCAAGAGTGGACTGAAAATCCCGCTGATTGATCTGATCCCGGCTCTGTTATTAAAATTTAGCTTCAGGATGAAGTTAAGTGTACGTCATGCAGTTCAACTAACAATGGTTATCCAATATCTTTTTAACGAGCTTGTGTAAACCAGTTGATTTCTTCTTGTTCCCTTCTTGGTCTTGCAGAATGGTTCTAGGTCTTTGGCGGATTCCAATGCAGTAGATCTAGCCACTCTCCTGCTGTAGCTCTGATTTCCAGAACAAGAAGTTAAGTGTTGGTTTGTTTGCCTCAGACTGTGGTGCTGTTGGCTTCTTCAGATGTCGAGTTGCCAGACAGTTGTTCGGACTGGTCGCTAGAGAGGGTTGGGGGCAGTGAAGATAAAACCTGGAAGGGTGGATCTGTTTAATTAAAACGAGAAAAGAAAAGTGAACCAATGGAGTAATATACTTATACCCAAGTAAGGCGAGGAGGGTTGCAAAGATATGAAGAACTTAGGTAAGTGAGGCTAACTCATGGCAAGTTGAAGGGATGAAAAAGGTTTAAACGGTTACTATAGAAAGAAAACTGGTTGCAGGGTTGAAATAGGTGGGGTGGCTTGACATCAGTTGATTTCTTCTGTCCAGTTCGTGTTCCAGCTGTATGTGGGTAGATCGTGGATCTCTACGTGACTGTCTAGCCTCTTCTTGAAACTTTCAATAGTTGGGACGGAGACCACTTCTGTTGGTAGTGCTTTCCAGTACCCGCAGACTCGGAAGGAGAAGTAGTGTGAAGGCACCTGAGTTTTTGACCTTTGGCAGGAAATTCTCTTAGGGTTTCCTCGGGGACCTCCATAATGGCCACTCAGTAGTATTCCCCTGTTCATAGAATTCGGGTTATTCGGCATTTTGTAAGCCATTATCAAGTCACCTCATAACCTTCGACAGCTAAGAGATTATAGGCCTATGTCTTTCAGTCTACCCTCAAATGGTTTTCGTTGCATTCCAACAACCCCCTTTGTGGCTCGCCTCCGGACTTTCTCTAGTACGTTAGTGCCACTTTTCAGTTGTGGTGGAGCGAAGACGTTATGGACCTATAAGTGGAGTCATGTTTAAGTCTTGTAGAGCTTCAGAAATGGCTCTGGTGTGAGGACACCTAGTTGTCTGCGCACAAAGTGTAACACACCATATGCTTTTGAGGCATCACCTGGGTAATTGGAACTGGTGTCCAGTTTCTCCCTAACCCTTGAACCCAGGTCTTTTTCTGCTGTGGTATGGGACAGACGTGAACTACAGAGAGATAAAGATACTTTCTAGGGATCATGAGTGCGGAAAAACACGGACCGGCACTTATCCAGGTTAAATGCCAGTTCCTTATTAGTTCCCCATTCCTCTAGTGCTTTGAGGTCGTTCTGTAATGCACTCGATTCCGCTCCGCAAGTTATTCCCCTCCATAACTTGACATCATCAGCGTATGGGAGAATCGGAGAGCTGACATGAAGCGGCAGGTTACACACGAACAGCAGGAATAGCAGCGGACCCAGGATTGCTCCTTGTGAAACACTGGATGAGGATGTTCTCCAAGTTGGGTACACCCCGTTGACTTTTGTGCAGAACCCCCCATTGCCTATGTAGTTCTGCAGCCATGACAGCACCTGTCTGCGTATGCCTAACCCAGCTATCTTATGCGTTAGGATCGTGTGTGGGACAGTGTCAAAGGCTTTGGTGAAGTGCTGAAAAATAGCTTGGGGCGGGCATTGAGATCCCAGCGTGCTGGCCAGTGACCACGGGCAGTCAGGAGGTTGGAGGCACAGGACCTACCCCCGTCAGTGAGTGCTTGTTTCTTGTCCAGTTATTCCCCGATTAGGTCGTCCATCACGCTTTCCATAACTTTTGATATTACTAACCTATAACAGTCAGGATTCTGCCTGTCTCCTCCTTTGAAGATGGGAGAAAGGATGCCACGTTTCCACCCTTGTTGGAGCTTTTGTTCATCCAAGGAGTGTTTGAAGAGACTGCAGAATGAGCCACTCAGGGTGCTTGCACATTATCTCAACACAAATGAAGGGTGTCATCGCAACCTGGGATTTTCCCACGCTTAGCTTTTTAAGCTCGTCGAGAACAACGGCGCGAGTTCTCTGTTTTTCGTGTAGCTCAGCAGTGTCCGGGAACGCTATGGGCTGTTCGAGCAGTCGGTATTCGTACTTTCCTGAAGAAATGTTGAGCTGTGTTAAATTTGGTGCTCAGCATTTAGGCGATCTCCTGTTCAGAGGGGTTTTCTCCATCCGGACATTTTATGGCACATGCTTCTTGGCATGCCAATTTCCCCTTTGCCATGATTTGGTGTAGGTTTTTCAGGGTTTATCATAAACCTCTTGATGAGGTTGGACTAGAATGACATCCTGTCACCCCGCACCCTAATGTTGCTTCGATTCCGTTAATTCGTGTGTGCTTCATGGTCGCTCAGTTCTCTAGAGAGTCTCCATGTGTGCCATGCCCTTCTCTTGGCTTTTAGAAGGCGCTCAGTGCCCCGTTCTAGCCATGAGGTTCACTTTCTGGGCGCTTTTGCCGCCAAGAGGACGTTTCGCGAGACGGCCACCTTAATTATATCTTTTGCCAGTTCACAGTGCTGGTCGACCTATAAGGAACACCAATCCACTGGCCGCGGGGCTCCTGATAGGTTTTTGTTCGTACCTTCGTAGTTTGCCCTGTTGTAACAAAGATAAGGGTGGGGTCACTCTCATAATAATTTTTCACTGGCTACTAGGTCGAATACCACCATAGCGTGATCGTAGCTTCCAAGAGGAGTTTGTGCCTGAACTTCTTCAACCAGGTGATAGCCAGTCAGTAAGTAATCAAGTTTAGATGGTTTACTATCTGACCCCCACCGGGTGTTGTCGCCGACTTTTTCTTGTAGTCCAGCCGTTTAGATAGCACTTAGCAGGTTACAATCGAACTTTCAGCCCGGAGTCTCGCCACCATACTCTAGGCCGAGGGTTGAAACGTTGAAGCCGCCAGCTACTAGAATCTAGTTGCACCCTATAATTGGCACCGTGGATATTACTTGGAGTTCTTTTGGCTGTGTTCCAAGTTGTTAACAGGGGACCTTTAGATTCATCCAACTACTTACTCAGTGTGTTTGACCGTGAAGTGACACCAGATAGAGTCTGGAAGCTCTGCCAGTGTTGTGTCGGTGATCTGTTCACCTCTGAACCAGCTGCTCACATACATTACGACCCCCTCCGTCCCTATGTTCTCTGTCTCTCCTGAACAAAATCATGTCACACATGTTAGCCTCCATGTCATGTATGTCTGATGATAGTCATGTTTCTGTCAAGATCATGATTTTCAAGACAAGGTTGAAGCAGAGGGATCGGAGTTCTGATACTTTACTTCGGAGTCCTCTCACGTTGCTGTAAAGGCACTTGGAGGTGCTTCTCGTAACATGAGATGTCTCTATATTAACTACTGGCACAGGTTGGGATGTGAGGGCCCCTACTGACTGGCTTGCTCCAATGGAACTGGCCCAGTTAGGTTTTTCTCGGGTCGATTGGTGCACTCGGTGTTGGGTGGGGGTCGCCGGTCTGGCTCTCAACGTTTCTGTTTAGGGTTACGGTGGCCCGAGCACAAGGCGTAACCGCCGTCTGTCGCTGCCACGGTTTTCTTGGTCTACGTTCACAGCAACGAATGTTACCGCTTATGGTGCTCTTGACTTTGTACCATGTCTCTGGCACTCTGGTGAATACTTCTGGGGATTCGAAGTTGACAGCCATTAGCCTAGGTGGGGTCATGGTTCTCGGATGCGGGGAGCGTGGCAGTCTGCTAATTGCCGCAGCTGCAACCTCACTCAGCCCCGTCCGAGCCAACAACCACTCCCATTGTTAGACGTCATGGGTGTACTCATCACCTGGCGTACCGGTCACCATTTCAGGCATTCCATGTACGACTATGGTTGTGAGTTTGAGTGGACCAGCTGCTTCTTGAGACGTCTTTCTTGATACCCATGATCGGTCAGGTCTAGCTCTAATGTTGGACGATCTGTTGATGACCAGGTTGTGTGGCAGTAAGAGAGACCTTTCAGCGTCTCTAGTTGAGCCTAGAGCCACTCTCATCGGTGGAGGCCTTCCTGCTGGTGAGTGGGTGCCTTTGTACAGTCGACACAATTTTGCCTCGACAGCACCCAGACGTAGCATGGCACAAATGGGGTTCCACTGCTGCCTGCCAAACTTGTTATCATCACAGACAGGAACGTTAAACAGAATGACAGAGCCAGATGTGTCAGTGATGCCAACATTATCGGATCCAGTAAGTGCATCTTGACGGATGATTCGAGCTCTTTTCTCCACCCTGACCCATTCCTTATGTTGTCCGCTGGCTGCTGTCCCCGGTGTGGCTCCAAGGCTCGGGGTGGATGCGGTTGCCCTTGGTGTAGGCAGCGCTTTGTTCGGCTTAGAACCTCTCATGTTTTTGACCTTCATTAGGGCATTGCCGAAATCCTCTGGAGAGTGAATCTACTGTGTGATGGTTGTTTAGACGGATACCTGCTTTTTGGTTGCTGGAGATTCATCGGTCACCCTAAGCAAGCCTGAAGCTAGGTGCATCTGTTGCAGCTGTTACATTCAAGGGCTGCATCACTTTTGGTGACAGCGAGAGCACACGTGTGGCAGTTGTCATCACGTCCATGTGGTTTTTTCAAGTGCTTCCATCCCACTCTTTGACGTTTTCTCCTGTTGTTTGTCACTGGGTGGTTTGGGTAGGCGCCAGGTGCGGCATAGGGCTCTGAGTTTACTTGACTAGGTATAGTGCCATTTACAGTGCCGGGAGGACTAGCTGCACCGCCAACTTCGAGTGTTGCAAGCCGCAACTGTGACCATTCGTTTGAGGTGGACCCAGGTGGTGTGTTCGTATCCTCAGCAGCT